CTGGGCTTTCCACCTGAAGGCAACAATGTAGTCATGTCATTAAGCAACAATTCAACAGGAACCTCTTCTTCATCCACGGTGCGCTTGGCGCTGCGCGTGTGCCCGCTCAAAATATCCGCAATATAACTAAGAAGAGTGCTGTAACGGACGTTACACTCTTGTTGACGCTTGTAGGACTTTGCCTCCGTCAGTGCCTGTTCCATTTGACCTGGTGCCTCCTTCAGGAGTTTCTCACCACACGCACGAAGAAGCGTCAAAGTGCAAGCCGCGGCGCAGACCCCTTGATGGCCCTTCATTTGTAGTGCAGAACGTATAAAACTGGATATAAGCAATGAATCCACAGCATTCAAAACGTAAAGATGAGCAAGTACCATAGCACCATTTGATGCACTTGTCTCATTGTACTTTTTAAGGTGTTCCTGAAGCGCAAAACATAGACTCTCTATTAACTCGGATCCCACCACATTGCCATGCAGCAGCTGCAGTCCGCGAATAAGCCCCGCAAACGACAAACTCGCAATCGGTGTTAGGGGTCCTGTGTCCAGCATACACATGCAGTTAATGTGTTCAGAGAGGCTACGCAGCACAGACGCCCGTGAACTCCCTTTAACGGCCCCACCAAAAAGCTCTGAGGTCTCCCTTGTCAGATCCACCACATTGTGCACAGTGAGTTTGTTAATGATACGCCGTGTAATTTCATCCAGAGTAGCGTTTTTTTCTCGTGTTCTCTTACCTCGCAGTGTCGGTGGGATGTATTTGGCTGAATTGGTTTCCGTAGCACTAGCAATAGTTGTTACTTCTGCCGCCGATGCTGATGTTGTCGTTTTGGCGAGTGCCATTGGCGAATGCTCCTCTTCGTGTGGAGGCGAGGGCCCCTTCTGAGAGGCAAAGGCCCTGAGAGGTGAGCGAGCATCCCCAGCATCCAGGGTATCCGCAAGTGTCTTTCCATGTCCACTGACAGTCTTCATGCTCTTAGCCACCTTCGTGGCTCTGCGTGGCGGAAAAGCGGATGCATCTGATGTTGCCAACCGTTTTCGATGTGTCTCTTTTCGATTCTGCCGCTTCATTTCTCGTGCTTTACGCATCTCTTCCCTCATGATACGCCGCTGCTCCACCCATTTTTCGTGTGCCATAATGCGTGCCTCTTTCCGCGCCTCGCGATCGCCACGTCGCCGCTGCTTGCGATCTCTCCATTTGTCAAATTCCTCATCGTTCCCCTCATCGCGACCGTGACGTCGACTGGAGGCCTGCATGCCTCTTCATCC